TTTTTTGAGATGGAGTCTTGTTCTGTCACCAGGCTAGAGTGCAGTGGTGCAATCTTGGCTCACTGCAACCTCCGTATCCTGGGTTTAGGTGATTCTTCCGCCTCAGTCTCCCAAGTAGCTAGGGCCACAGGCTTGTGCCATCACGCCTGGCTAATTTTTGTATTTTTTAATAGAGGTGGGGGTTTCACTATGTTGGCCAGGATGGTCTCGATTTCTTGACCTCGTGATCCACCCACGTAGGCCTCCCAAAGTGCTGGGATTACAGGCGTGAACCACTGCGCCCGGCCAGGTTCAAGTGATTCTTATGCCTGCCTCAGCCTCCTGAGTAGCTGGGTTTTAGGCACCTGCTGCCATGCCTGGCTGGTTTTTATATTTTTAGTAGAGATCAAATATTTTACATTTCACCATGTTGGCTAGCCTGTTCTCGAACTTGTGGCCTCAAGAGATCTGCCTGCCTTGGCTTCCCAAAGTGCTGGGATTACTGGGAAACACTGTCCCTGGCCCAACTTTTTAAAACAGTACTGTATCAATGGAGGATACTAGTTAATTTGAGTTAATTTGCTACCTCAGTTGTCTAATCTACAGTAAAGTAGCCAGTGGAGACCTAGTCTCTAACCCTCTATCTTCTCGAAGAAGTGGTTTAGAAATTCAAAAGGATAGATCACAGTGAGATCAGAGTGAAAATGATACTTGAATGTTAACTTAAAGAAGCAAACACACAAAGGAGAAGGGCAGAATAATATGAACATGCCTGATCAAATCACTTTGCTATTTAGAACCTCCCTGGATCCCTGTAGAGCCTCTGATTCTTTGGCTTAGCATGTCGGACATACATACTTTGGCTCCTACCTACCTGCATGGCCTCATCTTTCTATACCTTTACACTATGGTCTAGGATCATTTTGCTTTTTTCATCTTTCAGTGTTCATTTAGTGAAGTCTTTTGGTATGAACTGTTAATTTTTGTGTATCTGAAAATGACTTTATTTTGTTCTCATTCTTTTTACTTTGTATTCTGTGTTTTTTCAAAATGTAAAATTTAAATTGAGGTACAGCATGTATTCAGTTTGAATCAGGAAAGTGCCTGATTCAAATGTACAGCTCATTGAATGTTCACAGTTGAACACGTTTCTGTAACCATCATTTAGATGAGGAGTAGAATATTACTATCACCCAAAAGTCTCCCTTATATCTCCTTTTCAGTTACTTTTATCCTCCAAAGTTAATTGCTAACTACTAACATATAAATTAGTTTTTCACTTTTTGAACTCTATGGAATAAAATAATACACGGGTGTGGTGGCTCACACCAGTAATCCCAGCACTTTGGGAGGCCGAGGTGAGTGGATCACTTGAGGTCAGGAGTTTGAGACCAGCCTGGCCAACATGGTGAAACCTCATCTCTACTAAAAATACAAAAATTGGCTGGGCGTGGTCACACATGCCTGTAATCCCAGATACTTGGGAGGCTGAGGTAGGAGAATCTCTTGAATCTGGGAGGTAGGAGTTGCAGTGAGTTGAGATTGGATCATTACAGTCCAGCCTGGGCAACAGAGAACGACTCTGTCTCCAAAAACAAAATATTCTTTTGTGTTTGGCTTCTTTCACTTTTTCAGATTGCTTTCAGTTGCTCCATTTTTTCATTAACATATGGTATTACTAGTTTTTTAATTAGTTTTAGTCATTCCAATGATGTATCTCATTGCAGTTTCAGATTTACATTTTTCCTGATGACTAAAGATGTCGAACATCATTTCATAGGTTTAATGGCTAATTGGTTATTTTCTTTTGTGAAGTACCTGTTCAGATCTTTTGCCTATTAGCTGTTGGAGTATGTTTTTTTCTTACTGAATTATAGTTCTTTATATATTCTAGATACAAGCCCTTTGTCAGTTATGTTTATTACCAGTATCTTTTCATGCAAATACCTTTCTAGTCTTTCTACTCTATGGCTTGCTATTTCATTCTTTGGTATCTTTTGATAAATAGAGGTTTTATTTTTTTTTTTTTTTTTTTTGAGATGGAATCTTGCTGTGTTGCCCAGGCTGGAGTGCAGTGGCACAATCCTGGCTCACTGCCACCTCTGCCTTCTGGGTCCTGAGTAGCTGGATTTACAGGCTTGTGCCACCACACCTGTCTAATTTTTGTATTTTTAGTAGCAACAGGGTTTCACCATATTGGCCAGGCTGGTCTTGAACTCCTGACTTTGTGATCTATCCACCTCAGTCTACCAAAGTGCTGGGATTATAGGCGTGAGCCACCAAACCTGGCCAGAGGTTTTAATTTTAATGTAGTTCATTTTAATAATCTCTTCCTTTGTTGTTAGTGCTTTCTGTATCATGTCCAAAAAAGTCTTTCCTTACTCTTTGGTCATGTAGACATTCCTTTTTGTTATCTTTTAGAAATTTTATCTTTTTTTTTTTTTTTTGAGACAGAGTCTTTCTCTGTCGCCAGGTGCCAGGCTGGAGTATAGTGGCGCGATCTTGGCTCACTGCAACCTCCGCCTCCTGGGTTCAAGCAATTCTCCTGTCTCAGCCTCCCAAGTAGCTGGGACTACAGGCGTGCACCACCATGCCCAGCTAATTATTGTATTTTTTTGGTAGAGTTGGGGTTTCACCATGTTGGCCAGGATGGTCCCGATCTCTTGACCTCATCATCTGCCCGCCTCAGCCTCCCAAAGTGCTGGGATTACAGGTGTGAGCCACCGCGCCCGGCAGAAATTTTATTATCTTACTTTCACATTTATATTCCCAATCTTCCTAGAACAGACTTTTCCGTGTGTAATACAAGGTAGGGGTGAGTTTTATTTTTGTATTGTCTGTTATCAAATATACTTGATCACTTTTGTTAGTCTCTTGTTGTCTGGTCATTAAAAAATCCAATTGTTTGCCCACTTTTGAATGGGCTTGTTAGTTTTTTTCTTGTAAATCTGCTTTAGTTCTTTGTAAATTTTGGATATCAGCCCTTTGTCAGATGGGTAAACTGCAAA